TCCTGGTTGATTTGTATTTTTAGTAGAGGCAGGGTCTTACCATGTTGGCTAGGCTGGTCTCAAACTCCTGACCTCAAGTGGTCTGCCTGCCTCCCAAAGTGCTGGGATTACAGGCCTGTCTTCAACACTGGCTGAGGGCCCCTGACCCTGAGTAACAGATGCCTAGGAAGAGGCAGATGGAGCCGGCTGACCTAGGATCACAAGACAGGCCCAGGCCACGCGTCTCTGCCTCTTCCATCTCCGCCTGGGAGGCCCCAAGGCAGGAGGCAATGAGGACGATTTTGGACATTAGTTGAGAAGGAGGGACTGACTTCAACTGCCCTCACTGCAGTTGGACTGGAAAAGTCTCCGGAGCAGTGGAGAAACGGGCACTCCCTGTTAAACCTAATAGGACCCCTAGTGCTAGACAATTTCCGAAGGCAGGGAGCTTCACCATGTATCACACAATCCTCCTAGTCAACACAGGGGGGTGGAGCCATCATGCTCCTTTTTTTTTTCTTGAGACAGAGTTTCACTCTTGTTACCCAGGCTGGAGTGCTGTGGCACGATCTCAGATCACCGCAACCTCCAACTCCTGGGTTCAGGCAATTCTCCTACCTCAGCCTCCTGAGTAGCTGGGATTACAGGTATGCACCACCATGCCCAGCCAATTTTTGTATTTTTAGTAGAGACGAGGTTTCTCCATGTTGGTCAGGTTGGTCTTGAACTCTTGACCTCAGGTGATCTGCCCGCCTCAGCCTCTCAAAGTGCTGGGATTACAGGCATCAGCCACCGCACCTGGCCCAAAGCTAAGACCCTTAGAAGTGAAGGGTGCAGAAAGCAGAGGCAGTGGGGCCTGGCAGATGATTGGCCCAGTCTGAAGGGGACCAAGGAACCTGTGCCAGTCAGTGATAGAATCATAATCATAGTTCACTGTAGCCTCAAACTCCTGGGCTCAAGTGAGCCTCCCACCTCAGCCTCCCGAGTAGCTAGGACTATTTAAATTTTGCCACCACCCCTGGCTAAATTCTTACTTTCTTAGTGGATAAATTTTATTTTATTTTTTGAGATGGAGTCTCACACTGTCACCCAGGCTGGAGTGCAGTGGTGCAATCTCAGCTCACTGCAACCTCCGCCTCCCAGATTCAAACAATTGTGTCTTAGCCTCCTGAGTAGCTGGGATTATAGGCACCTGCCTCCATGCCTGGTAATTTTTGTATTTTTAGTAGAGACAGGGTTTTGCCATGTTGGCCAGACTGGTCTTGAACTCCTGACCTCAGGTGATCCACCTGCCTTGGCCTCCCACAGTGCTGGGATTACAGGTGTGAGCCACCATGCCTGACCTAATTTTTTTTTTTAGTAGAGATGGAGGTCTTGCTATGTTGCCCAGGCTGGTCTCCAACTCCTGGCCTCAAGCAATCCTCCTCGTAAAGCCCTGAGATTACAGGCATGAGCCATCATGCCCAGGTAGAACCCGTACCTTGATCATCAAAAGCATGAGTCAGCTCGTGGCCCACGACGACACCGATGCCACCAAAGTTTAAGGCCCTGGAGGGAAGGACACAAAGGAGAGGGTGATGCTTTGAGAGGAGGGCCTCTCACTCTTGCCCAGGTATGTGACCTTCACTTCCTGGGCTTGGACACATAACAAAATTCCACAGGGCTCTGTGTGGATAGGGGTGTGGTCACGGCCTGAGTCTCCAGCAAGGCCCCTGAAGCCAGACAGAGGCTAAGCAAAGTCTGTGTGGTCAGCTGTGCCCACTGGGCGCCACGCACTGTGCTAGATGCTCTACAGACTGAACTGTCCTCTTCAGTCTTTCCAAAAGAGTTAGCAATGGTCATCACTGACCAGCTCTATTCATGAGTAAATCAAGGCTGGGAATGGGTCAATTGCTTCGCCAAGGGCCACACAATCATCAAATAGCAGAGGTGGAATTCAAACTGAGCCAGCAGCCCTAACCCTCCCCACTCCCTGGCTCTGACTGTGTCAGAACATTGTCACAGGGGCGTTTCCCTTATGTAGGGCTCTTGATTCCATGAGACGCTCCCAATAACCCACTGTGCAGGGCTTCCAGATCTCAGAGACCCCTGGAGGGAAGGAAAGTGGGTGAGGATGTTGCTTCCTCTGCAACATCTCTGACATCCCAAGCCACCCGGACCACTGGGGCAAAGATCACATGGTGAGATTGGCTTGGTCGTATGGGCCACAGGGCTTAGCTGGGCTGGGAGTCCACTGAGGGCTGGGGAAAGAGCTGGGATAGGAGCAGCAGAGGCAGCCTACTTGGGTGAGGAGCGGGTGTAGAATGGTGCCTGCAGGATCCCGGCTGGAAACACAATCTCATTCTTGGTGGGCGAGTAGTAGGCGTTCACCATGGGCGGGGTCATGCTCCACCTGCAAGCAACAGGCATTTGGGAGGCCTCAGCACAGGGTGGGGGGCAGGTGGAGACAGCATGCCTAGAGGGCAGCTTGGGAATTGGAATCAAGGGTGTTTAAAAATGAGGACTCTCCCTCAACCCAGGCCCAAGTGCACACAAGTACAAGGACATCTACAGAAGGACTGACTGTTTTGAGACAGGCGCTCACTCTGCCATCTAGGCTGGAGTGCAGTGGTGTGATCATGGCTCACTGCAGCTTCGACTTCGGAGCCTCAAGCCACCCTCCTGTCTTGGACTCCCAAAGTGCTGGGATTACAGGCATGAGCCACTGTGCCTGGGTGAAGAACTGTTTTTTAGGAGAAAACTAGAAAACACCTGACTGTCTACAAATAAGGAATCAGTTAATTAATGATGTCATATCACACAGCGGAATACTGAGGCTCTTAAAAAGAGCAGGAAGGACTATTAGATTTTGAAGCAGCAGTGAGCAGTGGCTCATGCTTGTAATCCCAGCACTTTGGGAGGCTGAGGTGAGCAGATCACTTGAGGCCAGGAGTTCAAGACCGGCTTGGCCAACATGGCAAAACCCTGTCTCTACTAAAAATACAAAAAAATTAGCTAAGCGTGGTGGCCCATACCTGTAATCCCAGCTACTCGGGTGGCTAAGGCACGAGAATTGCTTAAACTCAGGAGCCAGAGGTTGTAGTGAGCTGAGATTATGCCATTGCACTCCAACCTGGGCAACAGAGCAAGACTCTGTCTCAAA